CTGAGCTAAGCAAAGCTCTGCTGTAGTTTTTCCAAAACTAGAACAATCTGCTTCCTGCAACAGCGTTGTGTTTGTAAAGAAGAGAGAATGGTGAGGAAAAGCAGGCCCTAGTCCCTTCCTAGTTCAAATGGGAAGAAGTGATTTTTAAGTATTTAACAGAAGCTCTGAAAAGTGTGATGCATAACTAGAAAATTAGAACTGCATTATAATGCTCAATGCTATGGCAAATTGGCCATGTTTTAAACTCACAAATAAGTGAGAAAGAATATCACAATTGCTGTTTACCTCAGTATTTCACTGTAGGTGCAGCACCTTTTCTTTAATCAAGATCTATGGTAATGTTTCTTAATCCAGAAACTTCTGTAGCCATATAAACTAAATCAATATATTCCACATACCTAGCGCAGAATAAAAAAGAAACTAGTAACTCTGGTAGTTGTGCTTGAATTAATCTGACTGAAAGCAACATCTCTCAGAAGTTAATTTAACTCGAGGCCTGGTGTACAAATTCGTGCACAGATAGGATTCCTCGGTCTGGCCAGTGATCAGGGTTGATTGGGACCGATCAGGGTTGGCCTGCCTAGGGGATGGGGATGCTGCGGGAAGTTGGCCTGCCGTGAGAGGTTGGCTGTGGAAGCGCACTGACCACCAGGGGGCAGCTCTTGCATTGAGCGTCTGCCCCCTGGTGGTCAGTGCGTGTCATAGCGACCGGTCAACCAGTTGTTCGGTCAACCGGTCGCTTAAGCTTTTATATATATAGATAAGCAACATAATACCCTAAAGAAGGTTTCTAATATAGGCTTCATAATATCTAGCTCCTTTTTTTATATCTCCATATGGATGTTTCAGTAAATGAAATATAATGCCCCAAAGACTATAATCCTATATAATAAAAGCCCAATATGCTAAGTGTCTGGTTGACTGGTCTCCATTCAACCAATCAAAGCATAATATGCTAATGATATGCAAAGGCTGCTCAACTGCTTGCTATCACGTGCTCTGATCACCAGGGGGCAGAGAGTCGACCAGTCGACCAGTCACTGTGACATGCACTGACCACCAGGGGGCAGACAGTTGACCGGTCGACCAGTAGCTAGGATGTGCACTGACCAACAGGAGGCAGATGCTCCAACTGGTAGGTTAGCTTGATGCTGGGGTCTGGCCAATTGGGACTGAGCGAGACGGGCCAGACATGCCCTGGAGTCCTCCTACAGTCCCTTCCTGGCTGGCCAACCTCCCTTGTCCCTTTCCAGCCCCGCTAGTGCACCAGTGGGGTCCCTCGGCCCGGCCTGCACCCTCTCACAATCTGGGACCCCTTGGGGGATGTCGGAGAGCCAGTTTCAGCCCAATCCCACAGGCCAGGCTGAGGGACCCCACTGGTGTATGAATTCATGCACTGGGCCTCTAGTGAACAAATAAAGATGGCCATTCCACAACACCATTCCCCTCCAGCTCACACTTCTGTTGGCACAATTGCTTTCCCAGGGCACCTATGCTTCAATCTTAACATTATCATTGATTCTTCTTTCTCTCTTGTCTCATTTGTCTAGTCACCAAATCTTAATAATTTTGACTCTAAAACAGCCCTCACATCCGTTTTCTTCTTGCAACATCCCCTCAAACTGTATTAATTTCCCATGGCTGCTGTAACAAAATTAGTGGCGTAAAACAATACAAATTTATCTGGAAGCCTGAAGTCTTAAATCAGTTCTATTAAACTGAGGTCAAGATGTTGTCAGGGCCACAAGCCTCCAGAAGCTCCCAGGGTTAATTCATTTCCTGACCTTCTTTCCAGCTTCTAGAGCTTCCTTTCTTGCACTCTGACCTGTGGCTCCTTCATCCGTCCTCACAGCTCACAGCATAGCATCCTCAATCTCTTTCTGCTGAGACTGTCCTATCATCTTCTCTCTATATAAAATCTCCCCCTGCCTCCTACTCAGAAAAAAATGATGATGGCATTCAGGGCCCATCCAGATAGTCCAGTTAATCCAGATAGTCTCCCCATCTCGAAATCCTGAATGTGACCACATCTGCAAAACCTCTGTGCCATATAAGGTAACATCAGTAGGTTCTTGGCATTTGGATACAACTATGTTTGGCAGCCATTGTTCAGCCTAGGCCTTCGGCCTTTCTTTATGGACTATTGTGGTGGCCTCTGCAGTGTTTAGTGTGGATGTTTTTCAGTCTCTGCTCTCTTGCATGTTCCAGTCACTTCTATGCATCAATTTCAAATCGGTCTGCCTAAAGCACACCCCAGACTATATCTGTTGCCCAGCCCCAAACTTCAAAGGTTCCCTACTGCCTACTGCATCGAGCAACTCTTTAACCTGGTCATTAAGACACACACAATGTAGCCATGGCCTTCCTTTCCAGGGCTTTTTTCCTAACATAGCTATTCTCAAACTTATTGGTCTCAGAACTCCTTTGCACTCACTAATATCATTGATTCCAAAGAGCTTTTGTTTATCTGGGCTATTTCTACTATTGCCATTTTAAGTATTGGAAAGTAAATTTTAATTTAAGCATTTTTAAATGTGAACACATTGCAGACCAGTAGTGTTATTGCTTGCTTCACCAGTGGTCAGATAAGTTTCTATTGAATGAGTACAAAACACGTTTTACATAATGTTAAAGGCACACTTTAAAATTAATCCCCATTGCATTTTAAAGTTATTTATTACATGTTCTTACAAGCTAATATCTTTTTTTAAAATTGTTTTATTACTTAAAGTATTGCAAAGAGTATTATACATGTCTCCTTTTTTTTTCTCCCCTTGATCTTCCCCTAGTCTCTCATACCCTCCAGTGTCTTGTGTCCATTTGTTATGCTTATATGCATGCATACAAGTCCTTCGGTTGATCTCTTACCCTTCTACCTACTGCCACCCAACTCTCCCGGGCCTTCCCGCTGCAGTTTGACAGTCTGTTTGAGTCAGCTCTGCCTCTGTATCTATTATTGTTCAAAAGTTTATAATGATCTCAATTATCCATGAATAAGTAAGATCATGTGGTATTTTTCCTTCATTGACTGGCTTATTTCACTTAGCATAATGCTCTCCAGTTCCATCCACACTGTTGCGAATGGTAGAAGTTCCTTCCTTTTCACAGCAGCATAGGATTCCATTGTGTA